ATCTCTTCGACCAAGTTCACCATCCAAGTTGCTTGACATGCACAAAGAGAAGCAGCTATGTATTCTGCTTCGCATGATGATAATGCCACTACTGGTTTCTTTCTTGAATTCCAAGCAATTGGTGCACCACCTAGCATAAACACATATCCTGCTGTTGATTTTCGATCTTCAGCATCACTAAACCAACTCGAATCAGTGTATTCCACTAACTTGCATTCTTTTCCTTTATCAACTGCAAGAAACAAAATGCCATAATCGAAAGTTCCTTTGAGATACCTTAGTATCCTCTTCACTGCTGCTAGATGTGATACCTTTGGCTTCTGCATGAATCTACTTACCATACCTACACTGTATACTAAGTCAGGCCTTGTATGACAAAGGTATCTCAATGATCCAATAAGTCTTCTGTATTGGGTTGGATCAACATCATCTTCATCTGCATCTTTCAACAGTTGCAGTCTTGGTTCTGCAGGTGTCGAAGTTGAGTTGCATTCTTCCATCTCAAACCTCTTGAGAATTTCTCCTGCATATCTTCTTTGGTGCATCATCAAACCTCTACTGCTCTTGTAGAATTCGATACCAAGGAAATATGAAATCTCACCCAAATCAGACATTTCAAATTCCTTGCTGAGATTACCTTTGAAGTCTTCGATCTCACTTTTACAGCTACCTGTTATCAACAAATCATCTACATAGAGACATAATATAAGCAATTTACTCTTGCTTCTTCTTACATATACTCCATTTTCAGTTGTGCACTTCACAAATTCCTTCTCCCTTAGAAAATTATCAATTTTCTTGTTCCAAGCCCTTGGAGCTTGTTTCAATCCATACAGGGCTTTATGTAGCCTGTACACCTTTCTTTCTTCGTCATGTTTCACAAACCCAACTGGTTGTTTAACACAGACTTCTTCATCTAAGGGTCCATTTAGGAATGCACACTTCGCGTCCATCTGACATATGTGCCAACTGTTTATTTCTGCTAGACCAACAACCAACCTGATTGTTTCGATCCTAGCAACAGGTGCAAAAACTTCGTCAAAGTCTATTCCTTCTTTCTGTAGAAATCCTTTCGCCACAAGTCTTGCTTTGTGTCGAGTTACTTCACCTTTCGAATTCGTTTTCACTTTGTATACCCACTTGACATCAATTGCCTTCTTGCCTTGAGGCAATTCGACAAGTGACCAAGTGTTGTTGTCTTCGATAGACTTTACTTCTTCGTTCATTGCTTTCACCCACTTCGAATCTTTTAATGCTTCAGCTGCATTAACAGGTTCGACATCTGCATAGAAAGCATAATGTACCAGCTCACCTTCATTATTTATTACATCATCTGATGTAATCACACAATCTTGCAATCTTGCAGGCATGCGTCTTGTTCTTTGAGGTCTGCTTGTACTTGGTATATCTGCTGGTTCCTCTTGTCGAACTTCTCTTTCGACTTGAGTTTCTGGCTCTTCGAATAGAATTCCCACTGAATCTTTCTTGACATTTGCAGTCCAATCCCATTCTTTAAACTCATCTATGATCACGTCCCTGCTGATCACAATCTTCTTGTTCTCTGGATCGAACAACTTGTAGCCTCCTGTCGAATGATATCCAACTAGGATCATTTGACTTGACTTTTCATCAAGTTTTCTTCTCAACTGATTTGGCACATGTCTATGTGCAATAGATCCAAATACCTTCAGATGACTCAAGCTAGGCTTCACACCAGACCAACATTCTTCTGGAGTAATTCCTTTTAGCTTCTTTGTAGGACATCTGTTCAAAATGTATGTTGCAGTCGAAACAGCTTCACCCCAAAACTCTTTAGGTAAACTCTTGCCTTTCAACATACTTCTCACCATATTCATGATGGTTCGATTTTTCCTTTCTGCAATTCCATTTTGTTGTGGAGTATAGGGTGGCACCACCTCATGCACAATCCCTTCCTTTTCACATAATCTGTCGAAGTCTTTCAACACATATTCTCCACCACCATCAGTTCTCAAAACTTTGAGCTTTCGACCACTTTGTCTTCCGACCATAGACTTAAACCTGGTAAATACTTCGATCACTTCACTTTTCTTCTTGATCAGGTAAGTCCATAGCTTTCGACTGAAATCATCTATGAATGTAACAAAGTATTTGTTACCTCCCATCGAATCCACCTGGATTGATCCACATACATCAGAGTATATGACTTCAAGACTAGCCTTCGATCTGCTTCCTGCATCCTTGCTGAAGCTATTCTTGTGTTGCTTCGCCTGCACACATTCCTCACATACCTTGTTTGGAATGTCAATTTCTGGCAATCCTGAAACCATATTTCTTCTCTTCAAATCTCTGATGTCTTTGAAGTTGAGATGACCTAGTCTATAATGCCATATCCATTCATCTCTGCTAGCTGCAGTCGAAAGGCACTTGTGCTCCATCATATTTAGTTCAATCTTGAAGGTTCGATTCTGAGACATAGGAGTCTTCAAGATTACTCTCCCATTTGCATCAACGACTCTCATCAACTTATCTTCGATTGACACTTTATAATTCTTTTCGACCAACTGCCCTATACTGAGCAAATTTCTCTTCATGCCTGGTATGTACAACACATTGGAGATTACTGACCTTTTGCCATCTTTCCTCATAATCATAACATCACAAATACCTTCAGCTGCCAGGGTATTGTTATTTTCAAATTTTACCATATTTTTCTTTGAGGGCTTTATATTGACAAACCAGTCTTTCCTTCCAGACATATGTGATGAACATCCTGAATCCAAGTACCATTGGTCCTTGAATCTATCTTCATCTCTTGTTGTGACCATCAGCATCATCTCTTCTTCTTCATGTTTTGCAAGCTTTGCATCACTTTCTTGATTCTTTCATTTTTCTGGACAATCACTCGAATAGTGGCCATATTTCTGACAATTGTAACATTGAATGTGACTCTTATCAGGTTTTCGACCACCACCTCTTCCTCTATTTGCAATACCACCTCTTTGATTGCCTTGGTATGGCCTTCTTTGATTCGACACATCTCCTTCGATTTGGTTTCCTCTACCATTCGATTTGTTGTAGCCACCTCTACCTCTGTCGAAACACTTTCCTTTGTCTTTGGTCTCTTTTGCTGAATGTGCCTGCAAGGCCACATCACTCTTTGATTTTCCTGCAGCTCTTTCGTTCATTCTTTGTTCATGAGATTCAAGCGTCCCTTGAAGCTCTTCCTTTGTAAATTTCGACAAGTCTTTCCCCTCTTCTATCGCCACCACTATGTGGTCGAACTTAGGAGCTAAAGATCTCAAGATCTTTGACACAACAACTCTTGTTGTTAACGCTTCTCCACATATCTTGATTTGATTTACTAGTTTTGTAACTCTAGTGAAGAAATCAGATATGTTTTCACTGTCTTCCATCTGAAGCAGTTCATAGGTCCTTTTGTGAGTTTGTAACCTCACTTCTTTCACCTTCTCAGCGCCTCCAAAAGACTTCTCAAGGATCTCCCAAGCTTCTTTTGCAGATTCTGAATCACTAACCTTTTCGAAATTGTCTGGGCTGACACATTGATGAATTATAAATAATGCTTTATAACTCAGCTTCTCAGATTCTGTGTATTTCTTCTTTTCTTCTTCTGAAGCGTTTTCGCCAAGCGCTTCGACTCCATCTTTTACAAGGTCCCAAAGACCTTGACACCTGAATAAGACTTTCATCTGTTTGCACCAATTCTCATAGTTGTCAACTTTCAGAATTGGTAGCATTGCTGGATAGTTTGCATTCTCATAACTTGTCATCGTGAATTCTTCAATCGTTCTTGATTGACACTTCCCTTGAATCGAAACAAAAGTTCTTGATACCAGATGTTGGAAATCCACCAAATTCTATGATGAATTTCTACCACAATGACAATTTAATTATGAGACAAACAAAGAAAAGAAGGCAAGACAAATATTTCTGCAAAGTTTCTCTCTGCCTAGAAACTGTGGAAAACTTTCTTAATCACTTGCAACTGCAAATTCTGTGATTACAATGAATTGACTTACTTGACTTGCTTTGAAAAATAGGGGTTATTCCCTCTATTTATAACTGAGCTTACACCCTAAGCCCAAAACCCAAAATATCTTTTTGTTACTAAATCAAATCAAATCAAATCAATTCTGGACTTAAATCAAATCTATTTAAATCTAAAACAAATCAAATCTTCTTTGACACTATGAATTACAATTTAACCGTATTCAATATCTTTATACTACTACATTAGTCCAAAATATTGTATTTTTATATATTTTACGAGTATCTCTATTATCAAAAAAGTCTTTTTTTTTTATAAATTTAGTGAACAATCAATACTACATCCGTCTAATCATGACCTCTCTTGTTTTGTTTTTATCTCTCTTTCGCTTTCTTGACTTATGCAATCCATGAAAAGGTTTGTTGTTTCTATATCAAATCATACACTTAAATACTTACATCAAATATTATTTATTATATTTATATGGTAAACAGTACTTTTTAATAAAATAATATATTTTATAAATAATAATTTGAATAATATCTGCATGGATGAATGTAAATAGTATATGAATAGTGACTTTTAATGATGAAATAAAATTAGTTAATAAAATATAAAATATTAATTAATATAATAATGAAGTTGATTAATAAATATTTAGATATTAAAAATAATTTTTAATAGTAAAACAAAGTTGATTAATAAAATAATATAGTTGCGAAATTATTTAATAAATTATTCAGATTTTTAATAATTATGAAATTGATTAATGAAAAGTAAAAAATTGATTAATAAAATTATAAAATTAATTAATCAAATAATTTTGTTTTTGTACTCTATTATTAATCTAAAAATAAATAAAAAAAATGTTTTTTATTTATTTATTTTTAAAATATTATTATTATAATTTTTTACTGTTGACCGTGAATAGTAAAGTACGGTGTTATGGTAAGAAATAGTGTAATAATATCATTTTTCTTTTCACTATTATGACATTTTACAATTGTAAAAGGCTGCACCATTGTACCTATCTGAAATTGCACCTCCAAAATGGCGAGGCACTATAGGCACAAGCTTTCAATTCTTCTTAGGAATTGGTGTAGTAGCTGCAAATTGCATAAACTTCGGCACTGCCAAACATACATGGGGTTGGAGACTCTCTCTTGGACTTGCAGTGTTCCCTGCCGCCGTTATAACGATTGGTGCCTTCTTGATCACCGACACACCCAACAGCTTAGTAGAACGTGGCAAGATAGACCAAGCCAGAAAAGCCTTAAGCCAAGTTAGAGGATCCTCCATTGATATTGAGCTTGAAATAGAAGAACTTGTTAAGTGGACAGAAATCGCAAAATCAGTTAAACAAGAGCCCTTTAAGACTTTATTGAAAAGAAAGTATAGACCTCAGTTGGTTATGGCATTCGCAATCCCGTTTTTTCAACAACTTACAGGCATCAGCGTTGTTGGTTTTTATTCACCTAACCTCTTTCAATCTGTGGGCTTGGGACACGATGGTGCTTTAATTTCTGCCATTGTACTTGGAATTGTAAGCTTTGCATCCGTCCTTGTCTCTGCCAGTATTGTTGATCGATTTGGTCGAAGATTCTTGTTCATAACTGGAGGTGTTGTGATGTTTGTGTGTTTGGTAAGTGAATTACTATAACATGTCTATCTTTGAATTAAAATATATATTTTTCATCTTCTTATTGTTAAATAATTTGCATGAACAATGTGTAGATTGCGGTGTCCATTCTGTTGGCAGTGGTGACTGGTGTTCATGGTACAAAGGACATATCAAAGGGAAACTCAATAATGGTATTGGTGCTATTGTGTTTCTACGCTGCTGGTTTTGGTTGGTCTTGGGGTCCTCTAACATGGTTAATTCCAAGTGAAATTTTTCCACTAAATATCAGAACCACAGGACAAAGCATAGCTGTTGGTGTGCAATTCATAGTAATATTTGTGTTATCGCAAACATTTTTGACAATGCTATGCCACTTCAAATTTGGGGCCTTCTTGTTCTATGCTTTTTGGGTTGTGGTGATGACTCTATTTATTATCTTCTTTTTGCCTGAGACTAAAGGAATTCCTTTGGAGTCTATGTACACTATATGGGACAAACACTGGTTTTGGTCTCGGTTTGTTAAAGCAGAAGATGGCGAAGAAAATCATCCATAAAATATGTACACAAAATGATGGTAAAATATTGATGTTTAATTTATGCATATTTGTAAGGAGGATTTGTTTGAAACACAAATTACTAGTTATTAGTGATACTCCCCAATCCTTTATTATAATAACATCCAACTATGATTATGGTCAGCAAATTGTGTATTAACTTTATAAGACTTCATAAATAATATAAAAATGATTCAAAAGTGTCTTAAAATAATGCACATGTCTATAATCAATATACATGCATTCAATAATAATTTTATGCAATGTTTGTATATAATACCACTCCTCTGTCCTCAATTATAAATAAAACAAAATCATCTTTTTGTTACAAACTATAAGTAAAAATTGACCTATTAAGTAGGTTGTTCTAAAAATACCTATATAGCATTATTGAGTGTGTCTTTTAAAAAAAAATTTTTTTTTGTGAAACTATTTAGTTCTAATCTTACAAAATAAAAAGTTTGACGGTGGGGGATTTCGTCCAAAGATTAGTAATATAAGTTGTTTCTATTGTATTTCATGTCGAAATTTCTTCTTCTCTCTATTACACATGTAAAATGACACCTCAATTTTTGTTTGGTACACCTTCATTTGACTTGTGAATTGAAGTAGACTTGGGGTACTTATCAACTATCATTGTAATTTGTAAAAGACTCATTAAATAAAGATAATTTAGAGAATAACAATGATCAAGGTGAAATTAATTCCTATTATTAAATGTATAATTAATTTTTCTTAGACTCTTTAGAAGACGATACACGGTATCATTTTTAAGAAGGAATTTTGTTCAAGATAAGATATTGTTTGAAACATCAAAGTCTTGATTTAGAAATGGTCTTTTGTAAGGGAAATTTCTTTTTTCAAATGTAATTTCTACAAATTTTACAAAGCTCCATTATATTATTTAGGCTAAGTTTCATTTGGATAGCAATTTCTCTGCCTTTTTATTTGGTCGGTTGTGTATTCGGGCATGAGTATCCTTAATACTCTGTTTTAATATATGCTTGCTTCACTATGCCAAACAAGCACATAGACAACGCTTATAAGCGCTGCCTATTCATACGCTACTGTAACCATATGCAGCGCTTTTTGTCCATGTGAAAGCGCTGCTTAATGTAGACCTTAGACATCGCTTTATTGAATAAGCGCTTTCTAAATGCCCCTATAGGCAGCGCTTTTAACAATGTAAGCGCTTTCTAGATGCTCCTATAGGCAGCACTTTTAACAATGTAAGCGATTTTTATAGTGTGTATATAGCAGCGCTTTCACTTTAAACAACGCTTCAGAAAACGCTGTCTAGTGTTTTTTTTTCTTCTCTTTTTTTATATATATATTTTAGGCAACACTTTTTGGTTTAAAGCGTTGTCTAATGTTCACAGATTTTTTAATATATTCAGCTTATATTTTAAGCGCTCTGTACACATAATCACTTAAAATTTAAGCGTTGTCATTCAAATTTGCACCAGATTTTATAAATCTAAAGCTTCAATCCAATAAATATGCACCAAATTTACATATTTATATATACAACTTTAATCCAACAATTTATATATACATAAATACAACTTAAAGAATTCAACAATTTATATATACATAAATTTAAATATTTATATACACAGCTTTATAAACAAATAAATATGCACCAAATGTACATATTGTTATCTTCTAGAGCTGTTATATTCTCTATTATCTTCTCTACAAACAACAACAATGAAGAATCCTAAATGAATCTATATATCTTCTACATATGCACCTACCTGAAATGAAACCAACAAAGGTATATATATATATATATATATATATATATATATATATATATATATATATATATATATATATATATATATATATATATATATATATATATATATATATATATATATATATATATATATATATATATATATATATATATATATATATATATATATATATATATATCAGAACCAAGCTATATATATATATATATATATATATATATATATATATATATATATATATATATATATATATATATATATATATATATATATATATATATATATATATATATATATATATATATATATATATATATATATATATATATATATATATATATATATATATATATATATATATATATATATATAACACTTAAATCTTATAACTATTATAATTTAATACAAATCAATGTAACAAAAACAAATCAAGAATCCATTATAACCCACCATTAAAAATTCCTTGATTCATACCATACAAACAAAATTTTGTTTGAATTTAAATCCAATACCATCCTAACTAGCCTTCCACATAACAACAACAATATTGCAACAATTTACCACACTGTGACGACATAGTATCTCATTAACTCAAATTGGTCATGCTCCGCCTCAACTCAAACCTAGTGGGGGTGGCACTCAACAAAGGTTCTTCCACTGCAATTCCCCAACTCGAAGCTGGCAACGTTCAAAGCGAAGAAGTATTTTCTTCTCCTGATGACAATGTCTTAAGGAATCTAAAAGAGCTGACAAGAGGAAACAAGGTCCAATCGAAGATAGCCCTAACGACTCTTCCCCAAAAAGGGCCAAAATTTCTGAAGACTTTCTTGATGATGAGGAACATTTTTTAGAAGATGTTACCCATCATTTTTCCAATGAAGGCGAAGGTGAAGTGGAGCAGTCCAAAGATCAAGAAAATGGAAGCAATCAGGAGACAATTCCTACTGTCATTGAGGTACAAACTTTTGCTCATCCACACATTCAAACTACTTCGAGTCAACCTCAGGTGCCTCTTACTGAAGAAGAGAAAGAAACACTAAAGAAGAATGATCCTTTGGGATACGTGAGGATGATGATGATAAAGAGAAGATCTTCTTCTGAAAAGGGCCAATATGATATTTCCACCCATTCTAGTGGAGGTACCAATGAAGCATCTTATGATGAACTCCTTCAGCAGGTGAAAGCAACCATTTTTGAAGTTGATTTGTTTGACGTGTTGAAGAAAGACATCACCGTTTGCTATCGAATGAAGAAATTGATAGGACAAATCAACATCACTGCCTGCCCCTCAAATATAGGTGAGACTCTAATTGATACTCAGCATCTGATTGGCCAAGTTAGCATTGAACATATAAGAGAAAGAGATATCGTCTCAAAGATCCAAACGAAGCAGCAAACTCAAGAAGATGAATTTGATAATGCTCTTAAGACTTCGCAGGAAGCTGAGCAGATGGAGGCTTCATATCAGGTAGTGAAAGCAGAATATGATGCTCATACCAAATCAATTTCTATTTGGGAGGCTCAAATTAAGGAATTAAAACAAAAAATTGTTGAGGCCAAAACCAAGTAAGCTTCCATCAAAGGGCTAGATAGGTCTAGGATCGAAGAGTTGGCGACAAAGAGTGTGGATCATGTTGAGAAAGCCACTTCCATGACGAACGAAATTACCTCTCTCGAGAGTTTCAAATCTGTTGTTGACTATAAACTGAATCTGGCCAAAATCAAATATGATAGGCTAAAGAGCCAACTACCATTTTGATTTATCATGTAATATTGAACTCATTTTCTGTTGTGCTTTGTTTAAAGTTTGTAACTCCTTGGAACAACAACCATTTGGCAACCTTATTTTTATTGGTACTATTTGGCTTAAGATAAAGCACTTCACATTATTCATTTTAGATTCTAACTTCTTGAAGACATAGCCTATACTTCTTTAAGTACTTACCGTTTACTTTTAGGCTCCTTCGATCCTCTGCTAGCTCTTCGATCTCGTAAGCTTTATTTGAGAATGCTCGTAAGATTTAAAAAGGTCCTTCCCAATGTGGAAACCATTTACCTAATGACTTATTCTTTTGATCCATAGGCAAAATTACTTTCCATACTAAATCATTGGTTACAAACGTTTTACCTTTAACTCTTTTGTTATATGCTCTAGTTATTCTTTCTTTTTATCTTCTCAAAGTTTCCAACGCATGCATCCTTTCTTCATCCAGATCCACTAATTCATTCATCATCGTTTCCCAATAATTCTCAGAAGGAATTTCTCCTTGCCTCTGAATTCTAACTGATTGTAAGTGGATTTCGACTGGCAAAACTGCATCATGTCCAAATGTGAGTTGATATGGTGTAGTGTTAGTTTCTTCCTTAGGAGACGTTCGACAAGCCCACAGAGCTTGGTCTAAAGTTTTATGCTAATTTTTTGGCTTTCTCCCCACATGTTTCTTTATTAGACTAATTATCACCTTGTTGGTTGCCTCTACTTGACCATTTGCTTTAGCATAGTATGGTGTTGAGGTCAACAATTTGAAACCCATTTCCTTAGCAAACTCTTGCATTTTTTGACCAGTGAACATTGATCCTTGGTCTATTGTAACACTCTCTGGGATTCCAAACCTATAAATTATATGCCTTTGAATGAATTCGACAATAACCTCTTAATCTACATTTACCAAGGGTATTGTTTCGACCCATTTTGTAAAATAGTCTATTCCTACCAAGATGTATCGTTGACCTTTGGATGAAGCAGGATGAATTTCCCCAATTAGGTCTAACACCCAACCCCTAAAAGGCCACAGTTTGATAATTGAGTGAATTTCTCTTGTAGGGGCATGTTGAATACCTGCATGTATTTGACATTCCTGACATCCCTTGGCAAACTCTATGCAATCTTTGAGCATTATGGGCCAATACAATCCGTATCGAAATAGTAAATATTTTATTTTAAGGTCTGCTTAATGCGCTCCAGATGCCCCACTGTGCACACCATACAAAGCTAAGTATGCTTCACTTTCTCCCAAACATTTAGGCAAGACACCTTCTGGGATTTTCTTGTACAATTCGTTTCCCATCAGGATATAGGATAACGCTCTATACTTGATCTTCCTTTCTGCATCTATCAAAGGATCTTTGAGATAATTTATGATTGGGCTACGCCAATCTGTATTTGTCAGAGCATTAATAGCTAATACTTCAAATTCTTCTTTGTTAGCGTATCCCAGATTTGAATTCTCCAAATCAGAT